CGAAAAGTTTTCGGAAATTCTCATTTAAAATTCGCGCGCTGTATATTTTTCGATATTTTTTTAAGTTTATGTAGTTTGGCAGCACTGTCCTTAATTACTATGCCAAAAATGAGCGCGATCTGTCAGACAGTTCGTTTACGGCAGCTGTTGAAACCAGTTCACCTCAGTAGGGCGTTGCGAAAAAAACAATGGAAAAAAATATTGAACAAAGAGTTTGCATCAAATTTTGTGTTTCGAACGAAATTTCGTGTGCAGAATCGTTGCGAATGCTACAAAAGGCTTATGGGGAATCAGTTTTATCGAAAACTCAAGTTTATGAGTGGTACAAAGCCTTCCAGGACGGTCGTACGACCGTCGAAGACATTTCGCAACGCACTACTGAGGTGAACTGGTTTCAACAGCTGCCGTAAACGAACTGTCTGACAGATCGAGCTCATTTTTGGCATAGTAATTAAGGACAGTGCTGCCAAACTACATAAACTTAAAATATCGAAAAATATACAGCGCGCGAATTTTAAATGAGAATTTCCGAAAACTTTTCAGTCTTAATGTATGTGTACTTCTTGAAGAATCTATCTGCAGAGGTATTAAAAACACTTAAATATTACTTATAGTTTATGTATATTATATTTAATGTATTTAGTTCTGATATATACTAAAATTTAACACTGAATTATTTATTTAATTAGTTATGAGTTTTTATTTATTTTTCTATAGCGTAACTGTAATGATGCATTTTCCGAATACTTAATAGATATTAATAGTAATTATAAGAATGATAATAATATAATACATATAATGTAAAATTTTACGATTTAACTTTCGTTTATTGGTAAGTACATCGCTTTGATTAAAATTTTCTACTTACTTCGACTTCAAATTTTTAATGATTTAAAAATTTTGAATCAAAGACTCACATTATCGTTTTTATTATTGCACAATATATAATATTCCTTACATTTTTCTAAAACATTGACTGCTGGATATATACATTATTAATTAATTTCTTATACAAATGATGACTATTTTGATTTGAGGAGGAGAAAGCATTTAAAGTGGTACTCACATAAACACACACAATTACAAAACAAATCACATATTTTATAGTAGAAATATTAAAAGTACTGCTCATTCTACATTTCTATATCTGAACACATGACCCATGGACCTTATTAACTTCACTACATTTTACGTTTTGACTGATTTAAACATTTTTAAAAGACGAATACTCAAATTTATTTCAGTATACGATATTAGATCTAATATGTTCTTTATATTATATACAGTCTGTTGTAGATATTTACTCATAATATTTAAAAAATTGACCTTTCCTAGACGTTAATGCATTTTTAATCCTAAATAAATTAAGAACTTTCTAATAATTTTGGTGACCTGTTTTGATTTTTTTTATTTACAGATAGTTGAGCAGTCTCGGCTTTTCGTTTTAATATCTAATAATATTTTTATTAAGTTTTCTCGGACTTACAGTTCCGATTATTATTAATACAAACAATATATACATACTAAACGATTTAATAAAAATAATATACAAAAACATTTCCTATCAATTAACTATTTTTTTTGGGACTCAACGTTCATAACTGTACATCATTAAATACCTTAATTCTACTTTATATACAAACATTTGACTTCGAACATATCAAAAACCGGATAGGAAGAAATTTCGTTTCATTCTTCACAGAATCGATGCATATATTGCACACATGGGTTCAGCTTTTAAGCTGATCAGTAAAGCTGAAATCTACATAGTTTCCTTATATCGGAGTTGGCATAAGTGTGTAGTCTTGATGTAAACTTGACTTAACAGTGTCATACATGGGACGAGTTGCATCATCTGGTGGTAGAGCATAGACATCGGGAGGCACACATAATGACTGTAGCTTCGAAATATAAGAATCGAAGTGTTCATGTGGATATGCAGCTGAGTGATGAACAGTGTAGGGATGAGGTGGTCCTCCTACTGTCGAAGAATTTGGTGGAGGAGGGGGTGGTAAAGCGGCAGTATGTGTGGCTGTAAGATGATGAGGTGAAGCACCGTAAATAGAAACGCTTGAACTCGATGGCACTATGGAAGCGCTAGGTAAGGGTCCTGGTGGTATAAGAGTGGGATGTGTGCTGTATACAGAGTGTTGATTATTCACCATTGACACAGGATTTGTAAGAGTACTAGTCACTGTAGAGTTGGTTACAGCAGTATTGTTCCCCGGTGGTGGCAAACGAACATGCTCTAGTAATGTTATTACATTATTTCGTAGACTCTCATAATAATTATTTATGCTGGTCGCAGCAGTCGCAGTAGAAGATGGAACTACTACTGAGCTAACAGAATTAACAGAGCTTGGGTCTAATGAATCGTTATTATTAGAGATATTGTTAGAAATACTAGTTGACTCATTGGCGACTGGATGTGTAGAGCTATTGGAGGCAGCCACTACTACTGATGTTGTTCCTCCAGGAGTGCTAGACACGGAAGTAAGTGAACGCTGTGGTAGATTACTCAGCGGAGAAGCTTCCTGTAGAAAATAAAAAAAATATATATTTTCCTTTAAGTACGCATAGCTGGCAATATTGTAAATAAAAGTTTTGTGACAAGATTGTATAATTAAATAACATTTTAATAGAAATACGTATTATGAAATGAAATATGTATTATTATTAATATGTATTAAAGTGTCATTTTATTCAAATAAAGATGATTCTTATTGCCAAATAATAACTCATAACATAGCTGAAATATTAATTTTTTTCAGAACTGGGCATATGCCTTCCACATGTTCTTACAAAAAAAGAGCATCAGAAATTAAAGCACATATATAACTTATTAAGTATAATAAATGGACGTCCTCATAATTCTTTTACTGCGCTAAAAAGAGTTCTAGCAACGGACGGAAAATTTGCCGATCCTAAACTAAAAGAGAGATAAATGGACACGTTCGTTCGGTGTATGGCACACAGAGAAAAGAGTAAAGATGTTAGCTATTAGCAACTCCATCAATTAACAATTCCGAAACTAATAAAAATTTATTGTATAAATCTCATTTAAAGAGAATGACTCATAAAAAGCTTTACCAGTTTAGATGGTATATAATTCGCATCTACCATATTCTCCAATTATAGCACAACCGGCTAATCGTTTGTTTTGATGTCTACAAAATTGTTTAGATTGCTAAACCGTATCTTCAAATACGGACATCAAAAAAGTCTTAAATCACGAAAGGTCAGAAATTTCGTAAATAAGGAATCATGATTCCAACAAAAATATAGCGTAAGCTATTGAACCAAAATGGTGAATAATTCAATAAAATATTTTTCAAGGTTAAGAAACCCAAAAAAATTAAAATTACTTTTAAAAGAAACCTTCTGATGGTAAAAGTGCATATGCTTAAAGCATCGGTGAGTTTCTCCTAAACTTCTAAACATTGTTCTTATCAAATTTATCTGAAATGTAGTATACCAAAATTAGCGTTAGTAACAATGGAATACGAAATAATAAATACTTTTTAGTCCCATTTCTGAAAGTTTGTGCTATAGGTATGTTTAAATCTAGGTCCTTCCAACAAAATAGCTGGTTGAAATATTTTATTTGTGTTCTTTTGAAACTTACAAATTGTTATGCATCCACATATATTATATGTATGTGGATGTTTTGTCTCAACGAGGTGATAAAGCCGATCATATATTTTATATAGTCTCCTACATCTTCCACTTAATACACTCCCTTTATGTTACTTGTATGTTAAATATAATAAACTACACAGTTAGTAATATCATTGGAAGATAAAAGCAGGCAATAAAAAATATTGCAAGTATATCGAATACTTGAGAAAGGGATTAAAGGTACATATCAAATAGAAGATGAGGCCGTGTACTTGGTCTTCGTTAAGTATTTGAATGAAACAGCATTTTGAAGTGTTTAGGTTTATCTCAATATATCCACAAATTATAAAAATTTACTCAGTCTAACTTTTCGACACTTTTATTTGCGAAAACAGTCTCCTTAATAATTGAAATTGAGATTCGTCATTCGTTATTCGTTATTCGTCGAATTTATCCTAGTTACATATGAGTATAACATCGCATATCACACCTCCTTTCAATTCTCTTCCGCATCATTTAGCAGAACATGAAATTAAATTAAATTTATTATTACTCAAGTCGGTTCAGTGAAGCGAAATAACGACCCTACAAAAAGCACCTACAATAAAACAAATACAGATATTTTTTCTTCCGATTTCAAGAGCTGTGCACACAACAAGGATAGCAAACAACCTTTTAGGACGAAAAAAACCGAAAAGAAAACAATTTCAAATACATAAAAATCTATTGAAAAATGAACACAGAAAGGAAAAAGGAAGTAGGAAAAAGAAAAAGAAAAAAATAAAAAAAGAAAAAAGAAAAGTATCTGAAGCAAAGATGCAGAAAATAGAACTGAAACATGCTTTGCACACGCCTGCCTTACACACTTGTTTCGAAATCGATGGAGCCAACAAAGAAACAGGCAGTATTTGCAGCAACAACAGTGAGGCACTTCAGTGTTGTTGCTGCTCTTGGGGGGATGGTGTGCAATAGATACACATTGTGCTGTAGTTGGTTGATTGTTGTGTGCGCTTGTATGTGCGTGGCGCCTCCTTTTTTTTCTCATTTTTTTGTGGCTCCACACAACCCTCGTGGGAGGCCAAAAGGTTGCGAGAGTCTCATGTGATTGTATGCGAAATATGTGTTTTGGGTGGCATGGCTCAGGTTAAATGGGGATAGGAGCGAATCGAAACGCGATTTGTTGATTTGTAAATGAATTTGGAGAGAGAGAAAAGCGACCCAATTGCAGGTGGGGTTATTTATTTGGCTTTGGGGATGGTTTGAGGCAACTTCCAGTGCAGCTCGCGCATGGACGTACGTGCGCGTTACACACACATTAACATTTAGGGAAACCTGCTCGGGGATGTTGAATGAAAGAAGCGAATGCAGCAGAAATGCATTGCAGCACAGTCATTGGTGGATTCTTTTTGTTCTGCTTTATTTCGACTAAGTACAATGCAGCAAACGCCATTTTGAAAACTTTCGAATTACCAGCCATGCAATTTATTTTCAATATCTGCCAAAATGTTATAAAATCTAGGTATAGTATCTGAGTCCTTTTTTCATATTAATGTTTTGGAAATATCTTATATATGTACATGAACGGTTCACTTATGGCACTTGAGGGCATTTTTTTTTTTGGAAACCATACAGATGTGTCACATTTCTCAATCAATAGAGCTGCACAGTTTGATAGATGGACTCAAAGGAGTCATCTATTTTTGAATGAAAATCTTAATAATCCTATTCGTGACAAATTTTTGATTTAATTCATTTTTTTTATTGGTTTTCCCAGGGAAATAGTACAGTAAGGTATTGGCACCGTTGCTCATTAATTTCTGTAGACTTACGAGTATATTGTATTCTAATTTTAGAATTCAAGCAAATGATTTTTGGAAACTGCACTTAAAATTGTTTTCTTAAAAAAGAAAAGTTTAAGTTCAGGAAAACAAGCCTGATAACACTTTTTCTTGTCTGTCTGTTTGTCTCGACGCAATTTTGTTTAGCATTAAAGTTTTCGCACCACAACGAGTCGAAGTTTCTTGGGTTAAAAACTTTTGCACCAAAAATTCTGAAATTCCAAACTGCGGCCTGCTCAAGCCAGAAAAGCGTGTGAACTGCCAACAGCGGCGGCGGCGGCGGTGACGTCAGCGACGTTGGCAGAACCAGAAGCGGTAGGAGTGGAGCAACGAGAAAGTGTAACTTTCCATAAAAATTAATTGATAAACTTTGATAAAGTACAAAGTGAAGAAAAATACGAGGAAGCTCCAAGACAGTCGAGGAGTGCATGTGGTTGTGTTTCGAGTAATAATTTAAATAACAAAAGTTGAAAAAATGGGAACGTTTTTG